AAGGCCAAACAGAAGCTGAAAGTGTAGGAACCTGTAAAGAGTTAAATATAATTAACATTTTCTTGAATTTCTAGAATTCAGTTTTAGAATTGCGACGCTCATTGTGGCTGCATGTTGGAGTAGCTGTTACTTTCATTCTGGGATATTGCTTTTGAAAACTTTATTTCCTCTTTTTTCTGGATGTAAATGGCATTTTTTTGGACAATTACTTCCTTTGGTATTGGATGCTGTGCAGCTGGAAGGATTTTTACTGAAACCTTTGTTATGAAGCACAACCATGACAACAAGGTGGTTTTTTTAACAACCGGGAGCAGCTGATTAACATCTCAAAGCTCAAATATTACCTCAAAACAGCCTCAAATCCCAAATGAGTTGTAAAGGAGGCACCATGGATGCATCTCCGTCTACCTGGCGGAGGTGCTCAAGTGCCTGTCTGCTAAGATCCTTGGAGCTGGCAGAAAACTTGGCTCATGACAACAAGAAGACCAGGATCATCCCCCGACACCTGCAGCTAGCTGTCTGCAAAGATGAGGAGCTCAACAAGCTGTCATCGCTCAGGGAGGAGTTCTGCCCAACATTCAGGTGGTCCTGCTGCCCACGAGGACTGAGAGGCCCATTGGGTCTGGGTGGACCGATCGGCATCTGCAGCCAGTTTCTTCAGATCTGCTGCAGGACAGACTGCTGCAGGAGATCCTTCCTGCCCACAGCCATCAGCACCTGTAATAACTCTTAATGAAACCTGGATGATGAGCTACAACAATATTAAATTTCCCTTTGGGATTAATAAAGTATTTTGAATTAAATTTAATTGAAATGCACACCCAGAAGCACACACAGAGTCACAAACGATAGTTGGATGTTGCTGAGCAGAACATTTTGTCACTTCAGAAAATGCAGGAGAGAAAAAACAAACATTTCACTAAACCTAAACTCTGATTTTACATGAACAGTTCAAGATATCAAAAAGTTAAATAATTTGTTGATAGTAGTATATTTTATGAATTGTTTAGAAGTTGAATGGACTTGATAAATTTTGTTGAAAATGCTGCATATTTCATAAAGTTTAAAAGACATCAAAACCAAAATCATAGAACTCATGTCCTGAACGAGCTGAACGTTCTGGCACCTACAGTAAATTGTAGAAATCACTTAAAAACTGCAGGAGGAGATTGTTGCCAAAAATGTACAGAAGACACTTGGAAAATATAAATAAATAAAAGCAGGACTTCAAAAGTGTGGATGATGAACAGCATGCACACAATAAAGAGAAACAGGAAAACAATAACTGCAACAGGTAAGATGCTAATTGTTTATAATCCTACTTCAAAAGACCGAAACCGTTGCTTTACGATTGTCTCCGATAACAAAAATGTGGTAAAATCTATAGACAAAGATTTAAATATAGTTTTTGCAAAGAGGGTTTAAATAGCAACAGATAAAACTAAATTTTCAGGACTGTATGTTTTTAAGGTATTTGTTGAATTGTGGCTCGTGACAACTTGTAGTCAAGGTGACTGATGATCATTTCTGTGTAAAATCTCCTCTTTTGTCTTATCAATATGGACATTTTATTTTACAACCACATATGTTGTTAACACGGGATCATAAAAAGTCCTCAACATCTAAAATTCTTGTGTCTGTAGACTGTTTATACCTCTGTAGTTGGGATCTGAGAAAGCAGTGCAGGTTTGGTTTCACGCAGACCTTCATCCAGTCCAGTGAGCTGGTAGTTGGAGCATCTACCCAGGGACTGACGATTTATGAGTTTGATTCTTTCACCAGTTTACAAATTCAGTCCCCAGCAGTGTCATTGACATTGTGTGACATAAAACTGCCTGAAGGATTAAAAGCCTCTTTTAGAGGGCTGTGGTTTGAGCTTGAAGTGTTTCTTTCTAACTGGAGTTACACCAGTTAACCACCGAGCTGAATCTGGAAGGCTTCTTTATTTCTGCTGAGAAGCAGTAAGTTACAGTTCACAAATAAAAGTTTTCTTTGGTTATTCCTCTTAAGTATAAACTTGGTCCTTTAAACGTCTCAATCAATAGTTTTCCTGAGAGTTATCGAACGGCCTTTTATGTTTCTCCTTACAAAATGAATTTCGGCCACACTTAAGGAGACAAGAAATTAAGCTTTCATCATCTAATCCGGTTTGCCTGAATGATTTGATTACAGACTTTGTGAGGAGAAAGGACACAGAGGTCTCAATGTGCTCTCCTGGACAAAACATGAATGTCTTAATGATTTCTTTATTGGATAAATTATAAAAGGTTTTTCTTTGCACAGGCCGGAAAAAAATATTGGGATTAGTACAAAATCAAATCCAGGGGAGATTTAGCCAACATATAAAGTTTACAAGACCTCTGCACGATCTGAACCTCTTTATCCTTTGAATAAATCCCTCTGAGCATGGATATTTTCTTACCATGTTGAAAGTTTAATTTTGTTGGTACAAGACACCCGTCGCAGCTCATTGACCTGTCCGTTCTGTTTGCCTTTTATATAACTGCATTACCAAGAGGCCAGACCTGAGGCCAGACCTGCCCCTTCCAGCTCAGATCAGAAACACACTCACTACCTGTGTGCTCAGACGGAGGATCATTACGTCCCACATGCTCAGCCTGTAAAGCTTCCTCTTCTGTGGCAAATTAAAAACCTGGAAACTGGCACCAGTGTTTTTAATTAATGACAAGAAAAGGTTTTAATTTAAAAATGAGTACAGATAATGAATTAACATTTGATGTGAATCAGTTGGGAATGTGTGTTTTTGCCGTTCCGTGAGATTTTATGGCTCTTTGTGTGTAACCAACAAAGTCTTTGTGGTAACCTTTTTGTGTACAATTTTGTTCCTGTATTAACACTGACACTTGACATTTATAATCTGTCAGGGACCTAAAAAAAAAAAAGTTGGATCTCTTTCCAAAGCCGTGTACTGCGGTGTTGATTCTGACACGGTGACTCCTTGATGAAACAGAACTAAAGGTTTGCTGTTTAACAGAGTTAAATGAGATTGTGTGAGTTTTGTCAGCTGTAAAACAGCCTGCTCAGCATCTAAAAGTTTACATTCACTTTCTCTGGAGTCTGGACACATGGTTTTTCTGAATACAGTAGCCCCTCATGTATTGCAGGGGATAGGTTCCAGACCCCCGCAATAAGTGAAAATCCACGAAATAGAGACATTATATTTTAGTATTTATATTAAGGCGTTAAAAACTCTTCCCACACTCTTGCAATGTTCTAAACTCTTAAACCTATGTCATTTTAACAACATAAGTACCGTACTGTACATGTAGTTAATACATTTTACTCAAGAGACCTGCAGAAAAGCAGCAGCTCTCGGTTTCGGTCTGACTCGATTCAGTTTCTGCAGACCTACCCTGCAGAAACAAACCCCGCAATCAATGTTCTAAACTCTTAAACCTACTAATTTTAACAACATACTTATATGTAGCTACTAAATTTTACTTACCAGCACGTCCCTGCTCAAAGGTTCTTGTAGGCCGGTTGAAAAAGTTGAAAAAAGTCCCGGTGGGCTCCAGATGGAACGCTGGACCTTCGGCGGCGGGCATCCTGCCCAGAAGTCCTCATGGGCTGTCTACCAGATCTCAAGATTCACTGATGGGTCTGGTTCTGCACTGGTTCGTTGGGTTCCGTGTAGCTCTCTGGGCACCAAAATCACTGTAATAAGCGCCAAACTTTTCCCGATCGGATCAAAACTTTCCCTCCAGTATTTCAGCAGAAGGAAATGAAACTTCAGGGCAGGGCCCTGTCTGCTTCTGGGAAATGTAGTCATTATGAGCGAGAATACAGTGTAGGCTTACTGAGAGAAAACTACAAAATGGTGGCACCTGTCTGGAGTATTTTATTTTTTGTTAACTTTATACTGTATTGTATCCAGTACTGTCACAATCACATGAGTAATATTAAAGTTGACAATCATGTGTCCTGTACAATTTATTTTTTCTCGTGTTCAATCTTACTTTGAAAAACTGCGATAAAGCGAGTCCACGAAAGTTGAACCGCAAAGTAGCGAGGGACTACTGTACAACAAAAAGAGCAAAACTCTCCTCACTGACTAGACAATCATGGAAATCTCTGTTACATCAGAGTCTAAAGTTGGTATAAATACTTCAAACTATATATTTTTTCTAAAATTAACTGTATTAGTGATCTTAGGTGGGAGGCTACACCTGTCTCACCTAAGATCACTAAATAATGTATTGGGCAGCACGGTGGCTTAGTGGGCAGCACTGTTGCATTACAGCAAGTAGTTCCTGGGTTTGAACCTGCAGTTTTTCTATGTGAAGTTTTAATGTTCTTCTGGTGTTTGCTTGTGTTTAGCAGTCTGGTTTCCACCCACAGTCCAAAACACCTGTATGCTAGGCTGCCTTCAGGCCCAGGCCTCCCTTGCAAGAAATATGTGATGAGATATGCCTGGCTAAAAATAGATCAATAAAAAATTATAAAAGCACCCTGGACAATACAGTCTTACAATAGTTTGATATAAACTTCACATAAAACATGTTAAAAGTTTATAGGATGAGGTAATGGGGTTACTTTACAGCCAACTTATATTATGTTGTAGACATTATTTAATTTCAATTAAATAATGTGCTTATTAAGTAAAAATATCCAACTACAGTAGTTCAAGGACTACTACTACGGTCATGTACAAATTCAATTCAGTTTGTTTATATAGGGCCAAGTCATATCAGAAGTCATCTCAGGGCACTGAACAGAAATATTCATAGCCATAAAAATCAGTTAATGACATTATTTATCTGAGGAGCCAGCCTGTATTCTAGCCATGCTTTTTTTGTGTTCTTTTTATGTCAATAAACAAAACAAAAACCCATATATAGTTAAAACAAAGAACATTAACTGATGACTTCTGTATAGACTTGAGAAAAACCTTAGCAGGTTAGCTTGCAAATCTGAATAGCCCCCTCTAGTGGTTAGTTTAAAAATGAAACAACACAATAATCCATAATGCATTTTTGGATATTTATTAAATGTTGTTCCATAAAGCTCAAACTTTGTTTCTATTGTTGCTAAAGAAATATTAACAGTCGCTAAAGAAATGTTTACAGTCACAATGAAGCCATCAGGTAGACTTCCTGTAGAAGGAAAGCATTTCATCTAAACTCTGAGGAGCGCCTTCAGACGGCTGCTGAGTCTGACTTTGATCTGCAGGCGGGGGTGGAAACGGTGGCGGATACTGGTACAGGTACTGTGGGGGAAATGGAGGAAGGACGTGTGGTGGACCTGCAAACTGAAAAGGAGGCAGAGGAGGAAACAGTGGATAAAAGGGAGGAGGAGGGGTATACTGGGGGTTTAAAGGGGGAACTGAACATGAGGAGGTCTCTGCAGGTGGGGGCTGTGAAGGCTGTGAGGATGTTGGAGGAACAGACGGAGACTGAGACTGTGGTTCAGCCTCGCTCTCTGCGGTTCCTTCTGGAAACTTTGCAGGTTTGAAGGACGTGCTGGATTTATTCTCCTGATTCTTCGTCTTTGCTGGTTTCCATCTTTTCTCGCCAGTGTATGTAGAGGGAGGGGCAAATTCTGAGTCTCGCTCATCCCGACGACGAGTTTTCCACTCACTGAACATATACTCTGAAAAAAAAAAAACATCCAGAGGAAGCATTAATGATGATTTTAGACAAGCTCCAGGAGCACAAGACTGAAATACAACCCTAACCTTTAGTTTTATCATCCGCATTAAGGAAACTTTAATTTAATCCACGTCCTGTTTATTTATAGTTTCATGGCATGTGTTGAATAACTTTAAAATGTGAAAAAAGTTTTAATAAAAGTGGACATGTTTTTACCTGCTATTATTCTGCAAAATTCAGGAGTTCAGTGCAGCTGACGGTAGCAACATTCAGTGAACTATTCAGATTTACATGTGAAAATTACATCACATACGTTACTGATTAACTCAATTTTTATCAATCAAGGCGTTCACTTACACATATCTTGATTGTATTCAAAATCTGAGTTTCATTAAGACACCATCTAGCATCCTGGTAACTAAAATCACAATCTAATGTACCTTTAAGATATATTTTTAGTCTTCAGAGATTATCTTTTAACCCTTATAATTTACTTTAAAACAGACTATTTCACTTTTCTTGTTGTCATAGCACAAGGAAATCCCTACATATATTATTTGAAAGCATTGTGAAGCTTGAGGATTCCCCTGTTTTAAAGATATAAGATCTTTCAGAAGACAGTTCCATGAAATGGCTGCACTCTTGTGTTGATGCTCCTTCTGGCAGTTCATAAGTCTCGGATGGAGCAGCTCCCTTCCTGTTCTCAAATGAGCTTTCAGAATACAGCAAGCGGTGCAGAATCAAAAGAGGCGCGGAGAAAACCTCAGCTGCTCCGACGTGCCGCTCCACATATTATAACTGGGACATCTTTATTGTAACATTACAAAGACATGGAGAGTTTGGTGACATGGTGTTAATGTTAAATGTGAAGTTGCAGCATTGTATCCTCTGCGCGTACAGCAAAGAAAATGCGGGTGTCGGAATCACCCGTTTGTCATTGTTGAATGCAAGAGTTACCAAAAACAACTTGTTTGAGAAAGCAAGGAAACAAAGAAAGTTCAAATCCAAAAGGAGCCCGGCTTTGATGTTTTGAATTTGAAATCCTGAGGCTGGGTGGTCGCTGAAAGCGTACGTCCGCACTTCGTCACATTGTTCTAACCAGTTGGAGCAGCAAAGCTGGCCCACCTTTTCACATGGCCACAGTTACAGGTTTGTTACTGCCTGGCTCTGAGTTAGAGGCGCTACAGAGGTAGGTTTTTTTTCAGTTCCCCCTCTCCACAACTTCTGAATGGACCGAAGTGGGGAGACGACATGTCTGTCCTGGACTGAATGAGCCTCATGGGTGGAATTCTCGATGCCATCACTCCAGACCAATAAAAATCCAGTTTTGAGCGGGCACTCTTAACTTGCGTTACCAGGTGATAAATCGTCAATATTCAACAAACTACATATCATTTTGAAGCTTTTTAGAAAAGAGACTTTGAAAATAATATTAATATTGAAAAATTCCTCATTGTGACTCATTTTGACAGAACGTGTCACATTTGCAGAGTTGAATTATAATACACACCTTAAATAATGACTTACCTTTGCCCCTGTCCCACTCTCTGATGTGAGGCACTCCTGGTTTGGTATCTCTCCTCTCCTGAATTTCCACTTCTACCCTTTTAAGAATGCTAGCCTCTGGTGGCACATCTGGTTGAGGGATGGGTCCAATTGTGTCACCCTCCTCATCCTCTCCTGAAACAAAACAAAAAAGCACAAATCTTTCAGCTCACTACACCGTATCATCCAATCAGACTTTCAACACAAACACTTTCTATTTTGTTGGAGAAAACAGTTACAGATTGAAGCAGCAGCTAAAATGAAGTCAGTGTGGATGCTAACCTTGATTCTCCTCCTCTTTCTCCTCTTCCTCATTGCCATCCAGTTTTGCCGTCTTCATCTTCCTCTGCCTTACTTTGGCAAGTCGGGCCTTAAGGATGGACTGTCTCTTCTCCTTGAGTCGTTCTCTTTTAGTCCGCTGGTCTGTAGTCTGAAGAAAAGAACAGATGTCAAAGAGAACGAGGCATTAAACCTCAAACTCAAGATTAATTTGATTTAATGGTTCTCATAAATACTTGATAACGTTGATAGCGCAGATAACACTTCTAAAGAAATTTAGGTACAGTTTAAATGATGGTGAATCTAAAAAGTTTAGCTCAAAATATTAATGCAGATCTTTGAAATCTGCTTCCAAAACATAAAGAGGAATTAAAAACTTGAATTTTAATGTTTTGCATTTCTGCTACTCGGTTATAAGAACGAGCCATGCCAGCATAAATTTAGGACATTGTTGGTTATGATGCAGCAGCTCCTTCTGTCAATATCACTTACTGTACCAGTTACACAGACATGTTTTGACAACTTCTATTTGTGTCGTCCTTCATGACATCTAATTAAAGCTGCTGCTGCTACTTCTACTATTATTATCATAGTCAACGCTGCCTGTTTGTTAAAAGACTGGATGGATTTTAAAGAACTGTCAGGAAGTAATATTTGGATAAACATATGCACATGAAAAACTCTGGAGTCAATGCAGTTCAAGGCTTCCACAACTAATCTACCTTTACAAACACAAAAATGGCTCTAACTCAGTCAGTTTAATAACAAATGAACTTAAATTTGCTGTGGTTGTAGCTTAGAGTCATTCACAAAACACACGATGAGTGACTTCTTGCTTAACATCGTTCTGACGTTTGACCAAAACGGCCACGAGTGCGTTCCTTCTCACAAAAGATTATCTCAGTTTAAAACTTTGGCATTAAAGGTGATAGGTGACATTCCTTCTCGGAATACTAGGCTTGTAATTTGTCTGTTCTTAATGTCATCCTAGTCTGATAATTGTTTTTCGCTGCCATTTAATAATGAACAACACACCTGGTCTCTGAGCATGTCCAGAGTTTCTCTCTGCTTCCTGCGTTGCTCTTGATCCTGAGAGAAGGCGTAGTAGCCCACACCAAGGTCTCGAGCCTCTGAGATTGGAAGGGGGGGGGAGGTTTTGTTTAGGAAAAAAATAAGAAACAAAGCTTCAAAAAGTATTTGAAAAAGAGTTTTGATCCGATGCTAACCTTGTGCTCTAATATCCTCATAATGAATTGGTCCAACGGGCTTCTTCATCGCTTCTTCTTCCTCCCTCTCCCACTCCTGCCTCTGCAGCTCTCGACGCATGTCCTCAGACAGTAAGGTCTTCTGAGACATGACCATTCTATACAAAGCATCATAACTATGCATTATTTTTGTTAAAGAAATTATTCAGAAGCAGAAAGAAACAACAACTTCTAAACCAAGTCTCACACATCTATAACTATTACACAAGATCGCAGATTATTCTGCAGCTGCATCATGCAGTGTTTACTCTAACTGTACGTTTGTTCTTTCTTTGTGATCATGTGCAACATAAAATAAAGTTTAAAATAATAACTCAAAGTGAACACATTACACCATCACAACACGATCATTAAATTGACAGATCTCCATTAAATCACACCCGTTTTCTTAGATTATTTCCAGGTACAAACTGGTCTGCTACACACAGTGTAAACTGTTCTAAAATCTCTAAATCTTTATTTTAATTGAAGTCTTCAGTTTGATGAATAATTAACGAGTGCATTGTATTAATATAAAACCATGAAGAAGTTTCTTCTTTAACACCAAAATACATCCAAATATCTATTATTTATTGATTTATTTACCCCTTTCCTTTAAGCTCTTGGTCCATTGTCTGAAAACTGGGCAAGTCTTTCTTCATGCATCTTCGAGATCGTCCCAAAGCATCCACGTAATCAACCCTACAGGGAAACAACAAAGATGATTACAAGCGTTACCAATTATTTGGAAGGCTTGCATTTTCAAAGTGACAGAAACTTGGAAGATGTCGCAGTTAAAGTTACGATGTTCGCACTTAATACAAGAAACAAATCTATGACATTACCATTCCTCATCTGGGTTTTGAGGAGGGGGGACTGGTGACAAACGGTCTCTTTCCTCTTCATCTTTCACCTCCTTCAGTGGTTGAGTTCCTCTTCTTTTGTCAATAATCTTCTGGGTGAAGTCAACCAGGTACAGGGCCTCCGTCTCTTCGTCTAACGAATAACAAAACACGTATAAAACAAAGCAGCTATGTTTGGTATAAAATATTAGGCGGCTCACAAACCTGGAAATTCTCCTTTTGTCATCTGCTCATAGAGCCTGGCCTTTTCCTCCAGCTTGTGTCTGTTTTGGAGCAGAAAGTGATGAAAGGTCAAGGACCTGTTTGCCTTACACATGAATTTAACTTAAAGCTGAACTCACCTGGAAGCATCGAGGCTGATCTTCTCCTCTGACAGCTGCTCTGCATCTTTCTCAGCTCTTGCTGAAACTCCAGCGTTTTGTTTACTCCAGATGTTTGGTTTCTGAATTAAAGAGAAGCGAGTGAGAAGTCGTTCTGCGTCATTTTCCAACAGTTTCACCCGTCGCATATGAACTCAAGCTCACCTTGTTGGTAGATTTAGCTTTGAGTCGATCATCGGCAGTTTCTTGACCAAGTTTTTCCCGTTTGAACTGTTCCTGCTTTCTGTACAGTTCAGCCTTCAGGTCGACTAACTGGAAGAAACAGATCGTTAAAGATAATCTTTGTACGAAAATGTTAGCGTACGAGGGAGTTTTAGCTAGCAAACGTTAGTTAACTTTAATCCTTTAGTCGCACGTTCACTCAGGATTATAAATCAACAGTTGCTGAATCTTTCCGTCGAGTAACTTACCGATGATGCAGCAACATCCAAAGATTTCTTTTTATCCATGTTTGCTGTTTATTTTTCACAACAGTCCTAATGTCGCCGTTGTGCTAGCATGTTAGCCGTCTGACTTCTTCGCTGATTTGACTCCAATCGGAAAGATGGCGCGTTACCGCCCCCTGCCGACAGGTCTGCGAACTGCAGCGACGTCTTCTACATCTTGGAAGGCAGGCGCAGTTGGTAGAGCTATTTCCTCAGTGAGAAGGTCGCCGGTTCAAATCCCGGCCGGAGGCCATTCTTGGTGGAGTTTGCATGTTCTCTCCATACATAAATAATATAATAATAAATAAAATGATGCTATTATTATGTAAAGTAGGTGGCATGGTGTGCAGTTAGAGCTGTTGCCTCTCAGCAAGGTCTGGATTGAATCCCAGCTGGGTGGGGGGCTTTCTGGGTGTAGTTTGCATGTTCTTTCCATGTATGCGTTGGTTTTCTCCAGGTACTCAGGTTTCCTCCTACAGACCTAAAACATGCATGTTAGGCTGATTGGTAACTAAATTGTACCTAGGTGAGCGAGTGAATGATCGTTTGTGTCCCTGTGATGGACTGGAGACCTGTCCAGGGTGTGCCCTGCCTCTGGCTCAGTGACTGCTGGACCCAGTGACCCCCGCAACCCAAAAAGGAAGAAGTGGGTAAAAGATAATGATGGACGGACCCTGAAGGAGTTGTTACAATTCATTTGAGAAAAGATCACCAATCATCCAATAGGAAAGATTTTATTACTATTTAACTTTTCATCAAGTTAGTTTCTACAATCAGTCTGAAAAATAAAAATACTTGGAAATATCTTCAGAAAAAATTAAAACGGCACACAAATGCTATAAATGAGAAAATTAATTTTATTGATCATATTTTCATTTTTTCTGTACCATAAATGTGGTTATCAATTATTTCTCAAAGCTGTTTCTAACATACAAAACAAATAAGGTATATTTATTCTGAAATTATGCTTCTTTTACTGATGAGCCTGAGAAAAGATTTAACAGTTTGAATATTTTTGCAACTGCGGTAAAAAAAAAAAAACTGATCTGACTGAAAACTACCAGCAAAACAAGGTTGTGAAACACACTTTCCAAATAGGTCACAGTTCTGATGTTCATGCATGTTAGTGGTAAACATTGTAGCTCTAACCTACTTTTTTCAAAAGCATTAAACAAGGTTTTATTAGTAACACGGTGAAATGAAAAATGTCTATTTTAACACACATTGACACATTTACTAACACTCAGAGAACCATCAGCCAGAAAATGTCACATGACTAATAAGTCTCCAAATAAAAAGCACTTAAGCCAAATGTGTGGGATGAAGGTGGAACTGAAGCAACTTAATGGACCAAACTCCCAGGTACTGGATCTTCACGTTTTTACTCATGGTAAGCTCCACACGCGTTAGCGTCTTTGCACATCATTTCTGCAGTGCTCGTGTTCAAGTAATTCAACTGAACAAGGCTGAAGAAGAAACAAGCGCAATTCAAGACTTTTAATACATCAAACCAAACGACTCTGCCCAGCAGACAAACAAGAGGAACATCTAGAACAAATCTGCAAGAACAATGATTTAAAACGTAACAGTCATGCAGCATCTCAAATGAGATACTTTCATGGAGGGATTGTTTTTAAACCCTTTCATTGTTTGTAAGATTATTTGTGAGTATTAAGTTATTAAAATGATACTCCTCTTCAGCCTCTTACATTTGTGCACAGAGTTTAAACATCTAAAATCAAAGGATGCAGGCAACTTTAGTCACAAAACCCTTACAGCCTGACTCTTTTATTTTTGTTTTCTTGTGTCGTGGCTGCAGATCATATGCCGTACAGCTGGGTGGTGTTGTTTCGAATGGTGTTGAGGACTGTGGCCTCGTCCTCCCCCTTCAGCCAACTCAGCTCGTGCAGAGTATGGATACCCATCCCAGGGTGGGAAAACCTGCAGACATCTTTACCAACCTGTTAAAAGTTAAGAGAATCACAGAGATGGAAATCTTTTTTGTGATTTATAATATGAATCCAAAGTGTTCGATAAAACTTTACTTATGATATGTCTATTATATCACTGATGCCCATCAGCTATCAGAAACGGAAAACGGTTCTCATTTAGCCGATCCGTAACTCATTCACACACGAGCGGCAAAAACGCTTTGACTGTCCAAAAACAATAAGGTCCAAACTTTTACTGGGATACAAATGAACTTCCCAGATGAAATTTCTGAGCAGCAGAGACAGTCTCAGAATGAAAAACAAGCTACTTTAAATGACTGCAGTTCATGTGTGAAGTTAGTGTTGGTTTTGCAGCTTACTTTTATCATGGAATTTGCACAATGAAAAAAAAGTGCAACACATATTTCATCATGTTGTGCCATCTTGGCTGTTATATCACAAATACAATTCAAAATGGGCAAAGAGTACCAGAACCAATAGATTCCTTTCTTTGGGTTCCAGTTTGACAAATTATTCCTAAAGTTGTCTGAGACAAAGCACCAGCCCATTTTGAAAAAATAAAAATTGTTTAACAAGATATACAGCTGTGCAAAAAGGCAACAAATTAAAAATAAATTAAAAAAAAATTATCAAAACCATCTTGCCTTGTAGATATGGTCGTCTCGTGTACACCAAAGTTTAAGGGAGACATGTAAAGGTAAATTAAAAATCTAGAACATATTTATTCTTTTCACTAACCTCTTAAAAACTGATAATACTTGTGTATAAAAAATAACTTAAAAGGTACTGTACTGATTGTACATTATCTTACTAAATGTACGTACATTCAATGTACTGAATGTAATGATTCAAAACTGTATTTTGGTGATTTCCTGAGTCTGAGGTTAAACATGCTGTACCTGTCTGGGCAGGAAATATGGTGCATCCGTTTCCAAGACGATACGGTTGAGAGGAATCTGCCGAACGGCATTTCGGGCTTCGGTGGCGCTGTTGTAGGTGATCAGGGCTGTGAAGCCCACGTACAAGTTGGGGAATTCTGTCAGGAAGGGCTCAATCACTGCATAGCTGTTGGTGAAACAGTGCCTGGAAAACACAAACGTATTCAAGAAATTTCATAACAATGCACATGTGATGATGCATAAATACAAACAGAGCAGGTCCTAAAAACCATAAAAACTAAGTTCTGACTGCTCAAAACAAACTGCTTTTAAGATGCTCTGATTAACTTGAAGCATTTAGTGATAAAGTGTTATTAAACTATTAAGTTTTATACCAGTTTGTTGTAATGGTGTCAGACTGAGGCGTCTAAACATGGCAGAAGTTCAAAGTTCCTCGTGTTTTTATTAGATAACGATCCTTTTGGACCATCAGGCCCAGTACAAGTTTTGAATCAGTGACTGAGATCACTCAGTTGAAATGTAACAAATGAGGGCAGAAAGAAATTTTAAAGGTTTTAAGTAAAAATTAAAAAAAAAAAAAAAGGTTCAAAGTAGCACAGTCAAAAAAATGGTAAAGAAAAGATTTTAAGCAAAAAAAATTAGTGAGAGACAACAAGGTAAGCTACAATGGAAACAAAAATTAAGATGACAGACATCTTCTCATTTTTCCTTCCAATCTCTCCAAACCAAGCAACACGTTTAATAAGTACACAGCCATAGAAAGTTGAAATAAACAAATAAAAAAAGACAAATAAATCATGATTTCGTCCAGCCTTTCAGGGTATTAACAACAGACACACTAAAGACAAAGATCTTTTGATTTCCCCTTATTAATAGTATTGACAGAGCAATGTTGTGTATGCTGTTCAGTGTCAGGAGGGCTGTGATCAGTCTTACATCGGGGAAACTAAACAGCCACTGGTCAAAAAGATGGCCCAGCACAAAAGAGCAACATCATCAGGCCAGAACTCTGTGGTCTACACTCATCAGGCCAGCAGTCACTCTTTCACGGATGAAGATGTTCACATCCTGGATAGAGAGGAACGATGGTTTGAGAGAGGAGTAAAGGAGGCCATCTTTGTGAAGAGAACCCCTCCATCTTTAAACAGGGGAGGGTCTCAGAGTTCAACTTCCACCCTTACAATGTTGTTATTGCTAGCATCACTCAGCCCCTTGTGAATAGTAAACAGCCATCGGGGCTCTAACGATCTATTAAGTCTGTTTTCTTGCAGCTCCTCAGACTGAAGAAGTCTTTTGGATAAAAAACGAAACATTTAAACAAAGAAGAACTCGTCCAGATGACCCGACTTAACTTTGTTAGATTGTTGAATTATTGTAACACTCAAAGAAAATGCAAGAGCTAACAATTCAGAAGCAAAAGGGGAAATCTAAATAATGACTAGTAAAAAAGTAAGTCGATAAAAGTGTAACAGGGAAAAGTTGTCACAGTGATTTGCCCACACAGACACACCTGTGGATTTTATAATCTCTGGGAACACACTTCTTCATGATGGCCAGCAGGTCATCGTCTGCGTCCCTGCAGTGGATCACCAGAGGCTTCTGCATGGCTACGGCCAAACGCAGCTGGCGTTCAAACACCTTCACCCAGAAAAACAGAGGTGATAAACAAAACATCATGTGAAATATTAGTAAAACCACTTAATGATGAAGTCTAATTTTGTTCAGGAAACAAAGTGTTGAGGTAACGGAGCATAAAAGTTACAGCTTACTTTTTTTTGTCTCGCGGTGTTGGTCGAGTTTTTATGAGAGTAATCCAATCCCATTTCACCAAATGCCACAGCTTTTGGATGCCTCATTGCCATCAGTATATTGTGCTCCTGAACACTTGAGTAATCTTTGGCAAAATGAGGGTGGCAGCCAAATGCCCCCCATACCATTTCTTCCGCCAGCAAACCCTCCCACAGGCTTTCCTTCACCATGATCTCAGGGTTGCAGAAATCTGTAATGCAGCCCTGAAACTCTGGACTAAAAGTGGACCTGTAAACTTGACGGAAGTGGCTGAATGTCCCTCTGAAGCCAAGTTTTCCATACAGCATGTCCAAATGGCAGTGTGTATCAATGAACTCAGCCTGACTGTTCCTGTGGGGGTAAGTGGTCCACAAAGGTTCAGCCCCCAAGGACAATCTTTTCACAGAGTTGCAACTGGAGAATGGGGAGCGAGAAGGGAAACGCGTGGAAGAGCCACCTTCACTTTGCCTGCGTGACGAAGCAGCGTTTAAAGAACGGCCTGATTCTCTTACATTTGACAGCAGAGGCAGAGCAAACGGGTCCAGTAAATTTGTCTTAAAGGACGAGTGATCATGAGTCTCAGCTCTGAAAGAGTTGAAAGAGTCGGTGTTTGGTGGGTTGGGCTGTTTGAATGAGATACAAATGGTTTTCTGCGATGGTGAGAACTCTGTTCCATCGTCCGCCGCAACTGCATGGACTGTCTCAGTTTCTTCATTAGTGGACATAAAAACAGAGGACGACGCCATAGTTTCCTGTGAAGTCTGGTATTGCAGGTTGTTCTGGTGAGTTGAGAAACCAAACAAAGGATCTGGAATATACTCCAAAGGGACAGAAGAGTTGAAGTCGTCCACTTGTAAATCATTTTGGGGGGGAAATAATGTGTCTTCAGAGGTGGTCTCCACAAAGACTGGGCCCTGAATAAAAGAAAAGACAAAGATAGGTCTCCTTGGGCCTTTTTTTCCTCGAAGTTAGATTTTAGCGCCAACATTATAATGTTTTAAAATGTAAGGTTTCTGGGTTTGTTAGTCTTTTTTTCAAGCTGTACAGAAAAACGAATCAAAACCTAGAAAAATTAAAACACTTAAAAACCATTAGTTTTTAACTGAAGCGAAGCTCCTTAGTCTCAAAGAGTTGCCTCAAGAGGAAAATAAATTGTTTTATGAAATTGTTATTTAAAAAAAACCTTTTTGAATGGCAGACTTACCCTTCCATTTGATTTTGATTCTGAAATGTCATCCTGCAATTGTGTTTTCAAAATCACTCGACTGGGAGAAATGTTGTCCTCTTTGAAAGCAACAGCATCCTCAGACTTGTTGAGGCTGCTTGACAAGTAGCTTCTACCCACAGGTTTTCTGAGAGGAGACTCTGGACTGGGTGCTTCAGTTTGAACAGAGGGTAGAGAGCTACTCTCAGTGACACCGCTCCGTGTTGCTTTGGTATTGCCAAGGGCTGCAATTAACGCCTTCCTGCAGATAGCCCTTGATCCCTCCTCAGGTGTCCTCTGTTTCTTTTTCATGATGAAAGAGTGAGATGAAGTTGTTGATGCTTGCTGACTCTCAGGGGTCTCCGGCTGCGTAGGCGACTTGTTAGCAGACGTATCCTGTGCCACAAGCAGACAAATCAGAAATATATATTTAATTATCTTACACCAAAACAACTGAATGATGGTTAAAAGATGTGTATGCAATGAAAATAAAAACTTACCGTTGATGTTTTGAAAATATTTGAGTTTGTCCAGGAAAGTTTCCTCTGCTTGGCTTTGCCTGCCGAAGGTCCACTTTCATAGAGAACCTCTGCTTTTCTCTTTGGGGTGTCTAGACTCAGTGATCCAAGAAGCTTTGATCCCGGAGAGTCACTGAGGGGAAAGGTGCTCCGCAACTGTTCACCGTCTGGTGTTTTGCATGGAGAAGATGTGACTGAACCAACTTTGCGCTCCTGAGCACGAGCCAATGGGGTGAGGGCAGTCTGCAACCAGTTAAACTTAACCTTCTTTCCATTGCTGTCCATGTCTGGTCCAAGACAAATATTGGAAAAAAATAAGAAGATATGTGTGCAGCTGGGAAGTAGCAGATAACTTCTGAAAGAAGTATTAAAAAAATAGAAAAATGTGCAGCATTCTGTTTTTGGTGCACTGGTTCAAAACAAATTTTTTATATTTGGGGTGCGATGAGTTCAGAATTTTTCATAATGCCCAACAGTAATCAACATAAACAAAACATTTTATTAGATTTTTAACTAACTTGTATGAAATACATGATCATAGGTTTTACCTCAAAAGCATATTATGTTTATTACATTGACATATTTGGTCCGTTTGGTTTGTAAAGTTAATAAAATACAAACATGCACAAGAAAGTAGGATAGAACCCACAGCAATAAAAGTGTAAAATTATCAGAAAGATGGGACAAGTAAAATTACTGACATCTAGAAGAAAACAAGGCATACAAGTGTCTCCTATAAAACTGCAATCAAAACAAAATTATTATTTTCATTTACGTTTTCAAGTAGTTTGCTTTTGAGACAAATGTTATGACATAAAAATATGTTTTACAGAGACTGAACTCTATTTAGCATTACCAGCCCAATTAACCAAATTTTCTCAGTGTTTATAATATTTGGAGTCATAAATAAGTTTAATTTGTAATGTACCTAAACTTTAGCTAATTGAAAAATGGTTAACTTGCGTAAATACGTTTGTAGCACCGTGTCTGACCGTAAAATGCAGTAAATGCCGTTTAAAAACAAAAAAATTATTTGACTCAGCTAAAGTTGTCTGGTCCTTTTGACAGACCCCCCACCCCCACCCAAATAAATGAATTGTTGAAATGATTTGTCTTTATTCCAAAATACTTCCGTCAGTCTGAGGAGCTGCAACAAACTCAGTCTTATAAATAACACAGAAAACTCCACAACAGTATACAGTGGATCAACCAGTTTGCTGGTGACAGCCAAAACTAGCTGTTCACATGATAAAAGGTGGACCATCGGTCTAACGATCGTTAGTGCCCTGATGACCGCTTGCTATTTACAGAGAGCTGAGTGATACTAGCAATAACATCATTGTAAGAACAAAGTTGATGACCTGACTGAAAAATATTGGATTGTATACCTGGATTATTGAGCATGGACTTTGTTGTTTTCAACCAGTTTGACACGACTGTCAACAAAAAAGAGGGCCGGCAATGGCGGAGGGGGCGTGACAAAGAGACCATCTTAGCACCAACGTAACAGGTTTGTTCCACTTTGGAGTAAGCTGTTGGGGGAAGAATCAGTTTTGTTGTGCGTTTCCTTGACTGACGAAGCCTTCCGGATCGAAGGTGAAACCTTTCAGCACAAAAAAAGAAACTGTCCAGATGACCTGACTGAACAATGTTGGAGCATTGTAAGAAGGTGACGAATATGGAGGCCTCTGTCCCGGTTTAACAGTGGATGAGTTCTCTTCACAAAGATGGCTTCCTTCACTCCTCTTTGAAAGTTTGAGTTTCCTCTCTATCAGTGTTGCCAAATCTGCGACTTTAGGCTTGTTTTTTCCTAAAGTCGCTTGCAAATCTTGTGAGTCGCAGGTTGCGTTTTTGAACGCATTTGGGATCAACTTTCTTTCCAAGTGAAACTAGTTGGTTATCTCCCAACTCCGCACAATGAAGCAAAAGACGAGTGGTAGTAGGTAGTTTGTCCCTTCCACGCCACCGTTTTCTGTTTATAGCTCCCACAGCCGCCCAAGTTGGGGAGGCGACAGGCCACACCCAAACAAACTCATACTGTGGACGACCACTAGGGGGCTCCACTCACACACAGATGGCAGTATGTTTTGTTTTTAAAAATATGTAGAAAAAAATTTTAGATTTTTGGCATAAAGTTATGATATTTAAAGTGTTTAGCATAATTTAGCCATTGTTTATGTGTAATGTCATAATAAATGTATGTTTATATTGTTTAAAAATGGCCTCTGTTTTACAAAATGTGGTGGGTTGCCAGTTGGGCTTTTTTTTGGGCCTGTTTTCATAGAGATGGTTGCTTGTTTCTATCGCGAGATCTGGCGACACTGCTCTGTCAAGGATGTACATGTCTTTATCCCTGAAAAAGTGAGTGCTGGCCTGCAGATGAGTGTAAACTGCTGAGTACTGGCCTGATGATGTTGCTCTTCTGTGCTGGGCCATCTTTATGGCCAGTCACTGTTTAGCTTCCCCGATGTAAGACTGATCACAGCCCTCCTGGCAATACAATATTACTCTGTGCTGGGGGACTGGATCTTTGGGATGAACCAGTCTTTGCCGCAATGTATTTTGAGGTTTCAAAGCCACTGGGATGTCATGTTTATAAAATAAATGTCTCAGTTTCTCTGAAACTCCCACAACGTATGGCATGTCCACTGGTCTGGGTCCGTGTTCCTTCTTTTCACATGATGGCTGACTGGAGTCCTGTTTGGATTTCCTATCTGCTTTCAGGAAGGCCCAGTTAGGATATCCACATTGCTCTAGGTCTGGGCCAGAGACGTCAAACTTGCTTACAGCTCAAACCATTTGATGGGAGCTAAAATTAAAAACTTGGTGGTAGAGCTCTCAGTGAGCAGGTTACCTCGGTTCAAATCCCGGTCCGGGGGCATTTCTGGGTGGAGTTTGCATGTTCTCTTTGTGCATGCATGGGTTTTCTCTGTGTACTCCGGATTCCTCCCAGAGACCAAAAACATGCATGTTAGACTGACTGGTAACTCTAAATTGACCCTAGGTGTGAGTGAGAGAGTGAATAGTTGTTTGTCTTGTTTGTCTCTATGTGTCCCTGTGATGGACTGGAGACCTGTCCAGGGTGTACCCCATCTCTCGCACAGCGATAGCAGGACAAGTTCATTTCAATTCAACAATTATTTATACAGGTTAGTCTCATTGAGCCTTGAGGACTCATTTACAAGAAAGACCTGTTTTTAAACAAAGAATGATGCCAACAGTAGACGGCAATGAACAGTAGCCAATCTCAAAAGAAGGCATATAAATTTAAAGAAAAATGGAAGAAAATGATGATATAAAATACTAAAAACAGGAACATGTCTGCAATGGTGTTTGCCATGAACTTTGCTGTTGTTATTTATTATTTAATTATTACCATTTATTTAATCAGGCAAATCCCATTGAGATCACAGATCTCTTTTGCAAGGGAGGCCTGAAGGCAGCCTAACATGCATGTTTTTGATCTGTGGGAGGAAATCGGAGTACCTGGAGAAAACCCACGCAAGCCCGAGAAGAACATGCAAACTCCACACAGAAAGATCCCAGGTCCAACCGGGGATTGAACCCAGGACCTTCTTGCTGTGAGGCAACAGTGCTAACTACTGAACCGTTGTGCTGTATTTGAAGCCACTAAGAGAAGGTCAAGGTCGAGAGCTTCAGATCTTTTTGCAAAGTGTTCCAGGATACAGGAGCGAAGTAGGAGAAGGCCCTTTTGCCTAGTTCAGTCCGCACTGAGGGAACCTCCATGACCCAAAAAGGAAGAAGTGGGTAAAGATAATGAATGAATGAATTCATTCATTCAACCTTTATTTATACTGGTTAATCCCATTGAGCCTCGGGACTCGTTTACAAGAGACCTGAATTTTTAGCAAAGAGTGATGACAACAGTGGACAACGACGACAACAATAGACAATCATAAAAGATGCGTACAATTTTTTTTAATGAATGGATGGATGGATGGATGGCTGGATTGATTGAAAAACAAAGACAATTTCAATAAATACATTAACTTAAGGCAGAAACTGGCATTTTCTTGGTTGCAGCTTAATATGACATTCTCTTTGGCTCTAAAAAAAGTTAAGTCTGGTCCTCTGGACATTCAAAAAAACAAAACAAAAAAATAAATAAATACATTTTTTTTAAATGTAGAAACGTTTCGTCTCTCATCCGAGAGACTTCCTCAGTCTGAGGTGCTGTATTCAGCTCAGTCTTATAAATAGAACCTTCTCAGAGTGGATCAACCAGTTTGCTGCTGACAACCAAAACCAGCTGCTCACATGATCAAGAAGGACCATCAGCCTAACAAAGGATCATTAGCACACTGATGGCTGTTTACTATTCACAGGGGGTTGAGTGATACTAGCAATCACAGCATTGTAAGAGGGGGACAGTTGAACACAGAGGCCTCCACCCCTGTTTAATGATCGACGGTTCCTTTTCACAAAGATGGCCTCCTTTACTCCTCTCTCAAACCATCGTTCCTCTCTGTCCAGGATGTGAACATCTTCATCCCTGACAGAGTGACCGCTGGCCTGGAGATGAGTGTAGACCGCAGAATCCTGGCCTGATGATGTTGATCTTCTGTGCTGGGCCATCCTTTTGGCCAGTGGCTGTTTAGTTTCCCCGATGTAAGACTGATCACAGCCCTCCTGACACTGAACAGCATACACAATATTACTCTGTTTGTGCCGGAAGGACTGGATCTTTGGGATGAACCAGTCTTTGCCGTAATGTATTTTGGGGTTTAAAAGCCACTGGGACGTTGCGTTTAGAAAATAAACGTCTCAGTTTCTCTGAAACTCCCCCAACATACGGAATGACCACTGGTCTGGGTTCTCTTTTGCTCTTTCCACATCAAAATCAAAGATTACTGAAAAATTCAAACCAATTCTTCCGGGCTTCAGAGATGACCAACTGTCAGAGGAAGTTCACACTTGTGAGGTTTGTAAGCAAAATGAGAGGCAATAGAAAATATTTTACATTTAAAATATCATTTTTGGGGCTAGTTGAGATGTTAACAAGGGCCAGGTTTGGCTCTTGAGTTTGACTGTGGGCCTGCCTTGTGTAGGATTTCTTCTTCTGCCTGGCTCCTGAATTAGTAGAGACGCTGTCCGCTCTGTGGTGCAGTCCCGATGACTCCCAAATTGTGCTCCAGAGGGTGATGGGAGTCAAAATGCAAATACTGGTCTGTGTGGGTGGGTTTGCGTTACACTTCAGTTTGCAAATGTCCTCCATCAGAACCTGAGACCTCACAGTCCAAGAAAGCTAACCTGCCATCTTTTACATCTTCTTGTGTGAACTTTATATATTTATCCATAGAGTTGATGTGATCAGTGAAATGTTGAGACTTTCTGAAATTTAATTTTAACCCAGGTGTCATCAACACCTGGGTTAAGTCACCTTACTTTGACTCGCTTTACATGAGTCAAATCAATTTCACATTCAAAACACTGGCAACTTTATTTTTTACTTTTTAATATTTAGGAATCCTATACTTAATGTTTGATATGCATTTTAACATATGTATTGTGATCAAATTAGCAATATAATACAAAAAGTGAATGAAATACAGATGAATACAGTTCAATTTAGCAATTAGCTGCTGCTAGCTAACAATACTTTTAAACATTACTTAATGTGCAACGCGGCAAAAACCCTTTAAAGCCATACTATGGCTTTACTCTAAATACTAACATATATTTGTAAAGTGACAAAACTAGCGAGCGGCACTGCAACATTTATGTACATAAATCCAATAATGACGGGTTTAGTTACCTGCTTTTCTTCTGAATAAATGACTGAACCCGCGGAAGGTCAACAGACGTTGCCTCTTTCAACACAGCAACTTAAACAATATTAAGAGAAGTTACCTAACTAAATAAAGTCTCTAAACGTCTATCTCTAAAGTTTTCTGCTTAAAAGTTTTCTTTTGAACAAACAAACCCTAGATGGCGGCAGTTTGAAACCAAACTTTAACCTGAAAGAAGCGTAAGATCTCGCGAGAATTGCCTTCAAATCTCGTCATGGCGCGTAGATTAAATAAATGGAAGCACGTGGTTTAGGGCGGTGGTGCCTTTCAGAACAGCAACTTTGTATTAATGAATACAAAGTCTTAACATTATTTATCATGAGCAACTGCGAGGTCCAGTCCACCATTAGTTAATAAAGGTAGAAGATACCCAGGATAAAGTACTTTGTTTTCACGGTGCTGTAGATGAAACTTCAGCATTGTCTAACATTGTATTACACCCAGTAATAACATTTCAAAATGGTAAAATGAAGATATGCCAATATTCTCTACAGATGGATTTTTTTTATTTTGGTCTGACTGAACATAAGAATGGAACCCCTTTAAAATCATTAATCCTGTAATCATCCACGTTATATTGTGATTCAATTTAAGCATCACCTGTTTGGGATTAAAACATACAACCTTGGACTGTTTTAAGTTAGATAAAGTAATGATTTTATAGACTTACAGTAATCCAATATTAATAGGTGGTCTAAAAAAGCAATAATTTGCTTTTAAACCCATTTATTTTATTGGGTAAGTCCCCTAGAAGGGCTACCACTGTTCCCAAATTTGCTTCTCCATACAGAAATCAGATACTTGGTTAGATAAATGTGTTTAAAATATTTGTTTATTAAAGAAAAAAATATATATATAGAAAGGTTGTAAGCTCAATCATCCAGCAGATAACAAAAAATGTTAAATTGTGTCAGCTAGACCAGTTTCTTTGAGAGAGAAACGTTTCATCTTCCATCCAGAAGACTTCATCAGTCTGCGGCCAAGCAACACGTATTACAAATTAAGTTTTATTTCTAAATTATGACAGCTACCTGCACGATACTCAAATATGTATATAGTATACTTCTGTTATTTAAATGTAAATATTTGTCACTAATGAAATATTATTTTATGAATTAAGTTTTTTCTTTATAATTTACAAACTTAAAACTCAAAAGTATTATTTAGTATTTCTAACAATGTTAAGTTTTTGTCTGTTTTGCTACATGTTATATAGACTTTTGTCAAGAGACTAATATTGTTTAACAATAGAAAAATAGGTTAACTTAAAATAAAACCACTCAAGGTTTTATTATTTATAAAACACAATTTAGAAACGGAGAAATTTTGATTTAGAATTGATTGTCGTTTCTTTACTTCAGTTATGGTTAAAAATGTATGTTTGGAAAAATGACTGCAGCAAACTCATAGAAAATATGTTTAATTCAATGCACACTGCGAGAGCTTTTGATGCTTCTTAAAGAAAGCACAGAAGCATACCTCAGTTCCCCTGCTGTCAGTACTCAGAACAGAAAGCTTAAAACAAAACCTAATTAAAAGAAGACAAGGCACATTTACTTATCAATTCAGCTTTTAATGAAATTCCATACGTTTAAATATATTTTTAATTGTTTCAAGAAAGAATAAATAAAACCATATATTCAAGGACAAGAAGAATGTGTGTGCAAAGGACAAAAAAAAGTCACATTTGTCTTGTAATGGTATAAAGAACTCAGAAAATAAGGGAGATGACATCATTATGAGTGATGCCAAACGTTTTGAAGATCAGTAATACTCGTAGAAAAAAACTTTAGACATTTTCTAGCTGTTCACAAACCAACATAGAACAATGCAGCTTCTAAAAAGGGTTTTAATAATTTCGATATACGATTAAAATAAATTCACTATTCACAAAACTGAAGTGTCAAAGCATAAATTTGAGCAACATTTAAAAATGACAAAGCATTAAAAATGTTAGGTCATGGTAAACTTTATGTCAATCCCAGATCGGTTATAAGCTTCATCCTTTGCATAGAAGCAACATTCTTACATTCTCTTTCTTTATAGCACAAGATATGTGCTCTGTTGTAGCATATATTTATAGAGAAATAAAAGCTGAGATACGATTCCTGCTAGATTTTTCTGGTTAGCTCAGACGTATAAACTTAGTTTGATTTAGAGGTTTGTTATTTAGCAATAAAAGAGATTTAGGGCACAGATATGTGTGAAAAGGTTGCAGCGAGCTGTTAAAAATTGTTCTGGGGCTGCGACCGCAGCCTGGATCCATGTCTACACATTGAGCTCTTCACTGAACACATTCCTGTACCGTGGTACGCTCTGAGGCAAAATAATATGGATGCACTTGGTTTAAATGCTAACAGTGATTTAGAGGGAACTTTCTTAGTGTTTCGGAAAGAATAGGGTCATTTGCTGTAGTTACAGAAAGAGGAAGTAACAGAATCATTATGTTCAGCCTACTTTCATGTTTTTCATACACTGAGGCAGACAATGTCAAATTAAGGCCTCATTTTACTTCTTATTAATATACAAACACATGCACATAACATTTTTTCTAATAACTTACCAAAGCTGAATAAAACTAACTTTTACATACCTCCTGCTTTCATCAAAACACCTGGAAGAGATGAGAAATAACATGGAATCCACAGGAGGAAACATCTGATGATAGAAAGACACAAATTTTGTACCCGGTAAATATTTTATCGGTCTCTGTGATCATCCTTTTCCAAATCTCACCATAGTTTTACTTTTACCTCAGTGATCTGTCTGGAGGTGAGGGAACATGAATCGTCTTACTGGTAAAAGAACACAGATGATTACTGCTGCAAAACGAATCAGCGTGCATGTGTGACACCAACAAAGGCTCTCACTGATCAGGGATGGACGGCTTTCTCCTCAAACAACCCGAGTCCTCATGTTTTTATTTTTCCTCCTATGTTCCTGATAATACAGCCCTCCGCTCGTTTCGTCTCAGACACTCAAAGATGTGTTTGTTGCTCAGTTGCCTAGCAACAAGTCTGGTAGTGGTGCTCCGGCTGCACAAACTGGAGACAGCTATAATTTCAGGAAATGACAAGACACCTTAATGGGGCATCCTTTAGTAGTCTGTGAGCTTGTACAGCACCTTCTGTTTGCATTAATTCAGAGGTCATTCAGCAGATACAAAGATCTGTTATATGATAATGCATGTGACTTTTTTTAAGCTATTTTATTTAGACATGCTGCTTTGAATGATAAAATGTAGCACCGTCATGCCTGATTTTACATTAAAAAACAAGAGAACAACAAATTTTAAAAGTATGTTGAACAAATAATCATATATTGTAATTAATAGTAATTATTTATTTATTTGTTTGCTTAAAGAGCAATTAGCATGTTATTTTAATATTTTGAAGGTTTAGTAGTTACATTTGAACTTAAGCAATACAAATATTCCTTAAGACATAAGTAAAATAATGCATTACAAATACATCTTGCATTACCATCACAATAAATTGTGCAAGTACTTCAGATAGAGCAGAAATGTGTAAATTAGTATGTGGGTAACAGCAAAACATAAGTAAATAAATGTATAAAGCGGGCAACAACAAAAGCTTCAGCTCTTTGGTCACAGTGCTTCACAGCCTCTTTAGAAAAGTTTATTTTTATGTCCCCCAGTTAGAAATTAGAAGACATAGTAAAATTCTCAACAAAATCTTCTATTTATTTTGGTTAATTTAAATGTCAACTTAACACATAGCACTCTAAATATGCTGTATTTTAATGTAAAAATATAAATCTTTACATTTGAAAGTTTTTCTATCGGCCTTGTGACCTTAAATTAGACATAAACTCTTAGTAAGAGTTTAAAACGTCTTTTTCTTTCTTGTAAGAAAGACATTTGCTTAAGCTGATGACTGAATATAACAATCTGGCAGCAAGTCAAAGTGACTCTTTTTTACAGATAATGAACAACAGTGACAAAGAGAAGTATCTCCTGTTTGTATTATTTTACAAGTTTTACAAGAGCTTGTAAAATAATTCATTCAACCTTTATTTCCACAGGTGACTCAATGAGACTCACCTGTACAAATAAAGGTTGAATGAATTATTTTACAAGTTCTTTTATGTCTGCTGTTTGTGAGTAATAAATACAGTCTGATGAACATCCATCCAGCTTCACGCTTCATTCCTCCTGGCCTCGGAACCGCAGCAGACACTGCTCAACTCGCTGGTTCATGCGTCGGAGATCTTTCAAACAGCTGGGCTGATCTTCAAGCTCCTCGTGGAGCGTATGAACAATTTCCAGCTTTCTGTAGTCTTCAGGTCGAACCAGTCGTCGAACGACGTGGAGAGCTCGAATCTTAAGACTGTCAACTGCGTAAAGTAAAACAAAAGTTTCTAAGAACTTCTGGAAATACAGTTTTATAAAAATGCAGGGAATTTTTTTTAGAAACATTATATTATTCTCACAGATTACACTCATTTTGTGTTGCTGTGTTTTTATAAAACTTTATTTATTTTACTTGTACAGTACTTTGACAATGTGTTCAACTTACAAAGTTTAAAAATTAATTTAATGAACCAACACTTACATTGCATTTCACAATGTACATTTTTTGGAAGTATTGATGGACCCTCCCCTGTAGATCTAGGTTCCTTGACCAATACAGCAAATTGACAGTGAGGAATTTAGGGGCTGAACTAGATCCTGAACTTACATTAGACAGTCAGATTAGGTCAGTTATTAAAATAAGCTTTTATCATTTGAGACAGCTAACCAAGATAAAACCCATCATTCCGAAAATAAACTTTGAGACAGTAATTATGTTTTTGTTACCACACGGCTGGATTAACGCACATTATCTGGGGGGTTAGCGGGTCCTCCATTGCCTGACTGCAAAGGGTCTATATACTGCTGCAGCGAGGCTTTTAACTGGCACACGGACTGTATTTATTTTTCGTTGTATAAGTCGCTATTTTTGCATAATTTACATGCCCTGCGACTTACAGGCTGAAGCGATATATTTATGGATTTTTTCCCATATTTATAAACAATTTTTTGGCAGAGATATGACAGCTTTCATTCATTCTGACAAAAAAAAAGAAGACCAGTACCACTTTCAGCCACTTGATGGCAGCAGAGTAGTAATAGATATGGCATGCTGTTGTGTTATGCAATAGGTAAACGTGGCTCTAATGACAAATTCAGAAAAGTTCAAGAAAAAAAACCCAACTGGACTGAGACACAACTTTGCTATGATTTTGAGCAAACAAATAATTGTTTAGGCGTTTATCTTTTTAAATTTTGTACAGCAACTTGACACGTGCTCACGTTTACTTCCACACATCGGGTTTTGAAGAACGGCTGATTTGACCCTCAAAGTGCATTTATTAAGCAAACGTTAGATTGATACACACATTTAATATAATTTCGAGCAAACAATTGTTTCAAATGTTAATCTTGTTAAATTCTTGTTAAAGTCCTCCTGTGCACACTCCCGCGGCCACTATTTGGCAGCCCATCGTTTTTTGGCACAACACCGGCACACATTTCCGGGTTGTCAGCGGTGACACGTAACAAAGGCAACGCATCAGCGGTGACGCATAACACATGCGACGTATACGGCAAAGCGACACATTTATGGATTTTTCCACTTTATTAGACAAATATGGACTGATGCGACTTATAGGGCGGTGCAACATGTACAGCGGAAATACGGTACATATGAGTACATCCCTCCCATGTTATTCTCACTCCTCTGGCTGCCTGTGCAATTTAAAATCCATTGTAAAATTATTTTATTTGTTTTTAAATGTTTGAATGGCCTTGCCCCACCCTACCTCGCTCAAATGCTGTATCCCTACAGAACCCTCTCGCTCACTCAGATCAGCTGACCAGCTGCTCCAGAGCATCCCTAAAAACCACTCGACCTCAGGGGGGTTGAGCTTTTGCTGCATCACCTTCTAAACTGTGGAACGAGATGCCCCTCCATCTCAGACTTTGTTTTATTGTTTTTATTGTTTGATCAGATCTTATGCATTTTACCATTTTTCATGACCTGGTTTTATTCCACTTGTGTTTTTAAGTGTATTTATGGCTTGAGTCGTGTTTTAATGTGATTCTGTGCAGCACTTTGGTCTGCTGTGGCGCGTAAAGTGCTGTACAAATAAAGTTGGAATGGACTGCGCAATTTTGTGATGCTTGGAACACGGTGACTGAACACAGTAGGCTCTCGATGTTTCATAATGTGGTAGAAAACAAAAGGTCTAATTTAAAAGCCAAATGAATCTGGATGGTGAAGCGACACTGGTTTAAAATAAAGATTTAATTTTACTTATTTTAATTTCCTTCTATTCAATGCACTCTGATCAACAACAGTTTGACAGTCACTAATACAAACACTAATGTTTGTACACAAATGCACACCATTAAGTAAGTTGACTCATCTTACCTGGTAAAGTGATATTAACCAAAACACCACGTGCATCAGCTGGTTTAGGAACAAACAGCTCTTTGTTGTTCACCCTCAAAAGCTCATCTGTTGCTGCATCTCTGAACATCCAAGGGTGACCTGGGAGAAAACAAAACGAAGATATACATTAAAATCTGACATTACAAAGGACACTTTGCTTCAATAAAAGCAAAATATAAATACATAAAAATTGCATAGATATAAAAACACAGTTATTATATCAAATACTTTCTAAACCTATATTGTTTTTTAATAACCCTCTCCTTCCAAACTCCCTGGTTTACATTCAGATTGTCAGAAGCATATTTAATTAAAAGTTACTTGCACACATCTAAATTCACTTTCTCTAAAACATGAAACTTGTTCTCAGGGGTTTGTGTTTGAGGTGGTTTCTCACCTACGAAGGTGTTTATTCTTCGTCCTGTTCTTGGCTGCAACTCGTCGTAGAGTTGAGGCCTCCCGCGGTAATCTATCCATATTGGCCGCACAACGCGAGTGCTTTGGTTACAAAACGTGGCATAAACCCGAATCTGACTGTTCAGAGAACGAACCAGCGGAAGAGACTCCTCTTCTTCTTGAGGCATCGGCGCTTACGAGAAGTCTTTAGTGCTAAAAGGTTAGCTCAGCGGCTAACTGGCTAGCGAACCAGCTAACTAATCTGTGTTGCCAGTTGTCAACAACAACAACAAGAACTCATCAAACTAATACCGCTGCATCAATATATCCGTCTGACGAGTAGATTCCTTTAAAACACGATATACGTATTCAATTAGCTAACTTTTTTAAATCTTTTAAATCTACATTCAAGCTTCCGGGTTCCGGTAGACTCGCACTGTGATTGGTCTATACATTTATGACGTAACATCGGGTTCAAAAGGTACGTGCTGTACGTGAAGAAAAACAGCACCAAAAGTTTTCAAATCTCTAATAAATAGAACATTTTTTATTCGAAATCTCTAAAACAAATAATTAATTGTCAATAATAATCTATAGGCTCTTTTGCCATGTATATTTTATGTAGCCTACATCCTTTAACATGTCGTTTTCCAGTTTTTAGGAAACCTGAACAGCTGTTCATTCATCCATCCATCCATCCATTTTCTTTACCCGTTTGTTCCATTTTGGGTCACAGGGGTCGCTGGTGCCCATGTCCAGCAATCACTGTGCGAGGGGCGGGGGACACCCTGGACGGGTCGCAGGTCCATCGCAGGGCCACTGGCAAACAGCTGAACCATTCACTCTCTCACTCACACCTAGGGACAATTTAGAGTTACCAGTCAGCCTAACATGCATGTTTTTGGTCTGTGGGAGGAAACTGGAGTACCCGGAGAAAACCCACGCATGCACGGAGAGAACATGCAAACTCCACCCAGAAAGGCCCCTGGACTGGGGTTTGAACCAAGGACCTGCTCGCTGAGCGGCAGCAGCTCTACCAGTTGCGCCACCTTGCCCGCTGTTCATTCATTCAACCTTTATTTATACAGGTTAGTCTCGCTGAGTCTCAAGGATTACAAGAGAGACCTGTTTTAAACAAAGAACACAGATGACAACAGTAGACAATCATAAAAAAGCACATAAAATGGAAAAGAAATGGAAGAAATTCATATAAAAAAAAAACGCAACAAAAAGAGCTGCTAAAATACTAAAAACAGGAACATGTCTGCATTGTTGTTGTTTTTTTTTTGCCATAAACTTAGCAGTTGTTTGAAGCCACTCAGAGAGGTCAAGGTCTAGAGCAGGGGTCTGCAACCTTTACGATCAAAAGAGCCATTTTTACGCCTTTGTTCACGACATTAAACATGTCCGAAGCCGCAACAACTGTGATTATCAACTGGTGGCCCGTGGGCCACTTTAGGTTTGCTGGAGATAACCTGGAAACAGTAATACATGCATTCATTACATCTAGGCTTGATTACTGCAATTTGCTCCTGTTTGGTATCGGTCAGACCTCCATTGCACGACTACAACTGGTCCAGAATTCAGCAACCCGATTTTTAACCAGTACAGGCAAAAGAGAGCACATTACACCAGTTTTGGCCTCACTGCACTGGTTACTGGTTCACTTTCGAATCCAGTTCAAAATACTCATGTATGTCTACAAATCACTGAACAGTGTCCCCCCCCCCCATCTCTCTGATCTGCTACAACCGTATGTCCCACCACGTTCCCTGAGGTCAGCGGACCAGTTGCTCCTCACAGTTCCAGGAACTCGTCTTAAGCGCAGAGGTGACAGGGCCTTCTCTGTAGCAGGACCAAGACTTTGGAACGAGTTACCTCTGCTTGTCAGACAGGCCCCCTCCCTCTCGGTTTTCAAGTCCCGTTTAAAAACTCACTACTATTCAATAGCTTTCAACACAAGGTGATCTGTGTTTTGATCCTGTATGCTCCACACTGGTTTGTCGTCATTATCTGCATCTTTTTTTTTTTTTGTCTATATTCTGATTTACCTCATTTTGTATTTTGCTTTGTGTGTTACCTGTTGTTTTGTCTGTACAGCACTTTGGTTGGCTTTGTAGCTGTTTTAAGTGCGTTATAAATAAAGTGGTATGGTATGGAGGGGGCTTTTGTGGCCAGTAGGGGTGACATTATAAAGCTAAACATATCTAATGATTGTTAAGATTAAAAGACCAGATTCTTGTAAAGAAGTGGGAAAAAAATCAGTTTTTACCATGTTTTGTTCAAATAAAAAAAAAATCTATAATCTATGCTGACAGTTCTTCATATGAAGAAATAAAAGCATCAAGTTAAAATTTTACTCCTTTTACTCGCTCCAGTGTTCACATATTTGCAAAAGAAATGACAGGAAAATTGTTTGAACTAATCTTTTTTTGTTGTTTGTATAATAAAATTCAGTTTTATGTCAGTTTTGGTTAAAGCTTGAAAGTGCCGCTGCACCAAAGAGCTGCATGTGGCTCCAGAGCCGCAGATTGCAGACCCCTGGTCTAGAGCTTCAGATCTTTTTGCAAGGTGTTCCAGGATACAGGAGCGGAGAGAAGGACCTAGTTCAGTCTGCACTGTACGTTTCAGAAACATGCAAAAGCCCAGGTTTATTATCAAATGTTAAGAGAATTGTGGCATACAAAAGAATAATGTGCAAAAGTAGTTAAAGTAATACAGTTGATGAAGCTTAGGTATTATTGGTTAAATTATTGCATCACACTAATATACAAAAAGTTGCATACTCAAATTTAGATATGCAACTTTGTGTTTGAAACTGGATTGAAGCTTTAGTTCACCTTAATGAACACAACAGAACAATATGTGAGATGGTTGATGCAACAAGAAAGAAGAATATTTGTGTTATAATTCTTTTTGGTTTATTGACCTCTCCTGTTGGCTTTTTTAACATTTATTTATTTATTTAAAAAAATATATATCTTTTTTACTCAGGATCAAACTCATTTTGCTTTCAACATCTGAAATGTATCAGGGACTTCAGAAGGTGCAACTCTTTATTGTGTTCACTGTTCATAAACTTCAGAACTTCAAATAAATGCATGTATGTAATATTTCTTTCCACAAACATGACAACTCAAAAGGCCTTCTTAAAACTAAATTGAAGTATTTTCAGCTTAGATAATTCGTAGATATTTAATTCTTTAATTTAATGACCAGATTCAGTCCTGTTTTATAAAATAATGAACACAATAAAAAGGAATTTAAGAAAAAAAAAATCCGAGGTTTTCACCATGATCACCTAAAATATGTTTATTCAGCCGTGATGAGCTATAGGTTTTTAATGTCAGTATTCTGAAGCTCGTGGATTCATTAAGCATGTGAGAAAGTAATCAGATTACTTAGCACCGCCTACCTTCAGCCCAGATAAAAAGTGGGGGGCGCAGCAGAAGAATCAGAACCAGAGAACTGCAGGTGACGCACATCAGAGCTCCTCGTTCACTGAAGCATCTGAAAAATAGTGAGGTAGAAAGTTTGGAGTTTAAAATGTCTTACTTTGATTTGCAGCGAGCCAAACATTTCGTGTTTTAGATATAACTGGCAACACAAGTTTTTTTTTTCTTTGCGACAAATGCTGCGTTGCAAAAGGATTTAGACTTTTAATGCTCTCACTCGAGTTTATTTATTTGTATTTATTTTTTGCCAACAAATCTCAACTCTGAGTGATGCAGCAGCTGAACGTCAGTGACTTAGTGGATGCGGAGGATGTGCCCAGAGACCAGAGTCTGGCCCGGGTGGAGATCGCGCTGCTCGGCGTCATCTTCGTGACAGCCGCCGTGCTCAACACCGCCCTGCTGCGAGTCCTCTGGAGGCAGCGGAAACAAATGTCCAGGATGCGCGTCTTCGTGTTCCACCTGTGCGTGGCGGACCTGGTGGTGGCTTTTTTCCAAGTGTGCCCACAGCTCATGTGGGACATCACGGACAGATTCGTCGGACCCGACTTGGTGTGCCGCCTCGTGAAGTATCTGCAGGTTCTGGGCATGTTCTCGTCCACCTACATGATCGTGGTGATGACGGTGGACAGGTACCAGGCGGTCTGCAAACCGATGGTGACGTTCCAGCGGACGCGTACGAGACTGAACCTCCCTGTGTGCGTGGCGTGGGGAGTCTCCCTGCTGGGCAGCCTGCCGCAGGCTTTCATTTTCTCTAAGGTGGAGGTCGCACCCGGCGTGTTTGACTGCTGGGCTGACTTCATAAAGCCGTGGGGGCTGCAGGCTTACGTCACCTGGACCACGCTGGTCATCTTCATCCTGCCTGTCTCCACAGTGGTTGTTTGCCAAGTGCGCATCTGCAGGGCCATCCAGACCAACCTGTACAAAAAGATGCACAAGCAGGGCAGCATTGGAGTCCTGCTGCCTCCCAGAGCCAGCGAAGTGGGCATGTCCAAGGCCAGGGTAAAGACCCTGAAGATGACCGTGGTCATTGTGCTGGCTTATATCATCTGCTGGGCTCCGTTCTTCACGGTGCAGCTGTGGTCCGCCTGGGACACCTACGCGCCAAAAGAGAGTAAGTTCCTGTGCTTCTAGAGACGATGTGTGGTTACCTTTAACCTAACCATGCTGTGCCATAGAAGGTATTGCTTTTGACATGTGTTGTAATAATACAGAAGCTTAGCTTTTGACGCACAAGTAAATAGTGCACTTTTACGCACAAACTCTTTGGTGCGTAAAAGCGCACCATCGAGTTTGTGCGTAAAAGTGCACTTTTTGTTTGCTGCACTGACAACTAACTTTTAGTCTGTCTTCTCGTATTTCAGCTGCAACTTTCACCATCTTGATGTTGCTGGCCAGCCTGAACAGTTGCGCCAATCCCTGCATTTATCTTCTGTTCAGCGGTCAGTTTCCAAACAAGCTGCTGACTCTCTTGTGCCGCCGCCGGCTTTCCAACAGCAAGGACTCAATGCAGAACGAGGCGACGCTCGTCAGCACTTTGAATATGAGCTTCAAAAATGTCTCAGAGTTAAAGTGACTGTGGGGAAAGGATTGGAGATCTGTGTGTTATCTTCTAATCCTGAGCTCTTATGGAAAAGTGCAAAGAAAATCTGTTGGCGAGCTTGATCATGAGATAAATGCTGATGAAGATTTGTTTTCTTGGACTCTGATGGAAAGAGCGCGTTAGACTGTGAGTCTCAACTCAAAGCCTTTTCGGCTTCAGTAAAACAGTCTTTTTAACTGAGCGTTATATAAAATACAGCATTCCTGAATCTAAATGTAAACTGGACATGGATTTGGATCCATCATTCAAAAGAGGAAAAAAATATATATTTATTTCAGTTGTGGTTATTTTATTTTAAAAATAACAAATTATTGGAGTTGACCTCACAGAGTTGGTCAGCAGAAAGTGTTAAAACTCAGAACAACTGTATTTTCACAACAGAGAAACATTTATCATCAACATTATCTGTATTTGCATTTTTTAAAAATCAGTTCTGTTGATGTTGCCTTCAGTGAGTACTGATTCATACAGAACAAGTAAGGAATAAAGTCAAAATATACAACTCTTATTTTTGTGTTTTTCCCATGAGTACACCTGAAAATCCACACTTTATAAAATTGCATACAAGAACATAATTTTGTGCTTGAGGGGCACTTACAATGTGGCTTTTGGTGACAATATGCTTTTTAAATTGTGTTTAATCTATAAACATGGAATGTTCCCATTTATCTGTGTTAGCCAGCTTCCATCAATCATGCCACACATTTTATCTGCATACCAATAAGGATAAAGAATTTTAATGCAGACAGAGTAGCATACCAGAGGCCTACAGCATTAAAATATTTCACATGACAGCATGGATATTTATTGTCTTCTGTTGCAGATAAGTACAAGTAAAGGCCATGGATTGCTTTTTTCCAGTGTTATTTTAAAAACAAAGGAGCAAATTACACCATACTAAAGGCAGATCATTAGACTAATGAGAGAGTGGATACAGGCAGCAGCGTCGGCTAACAGAGCGATCAGTAAATGAAGATATTTTATTAGTTGTTGGCATCATCTGACTTATATCTGAGCTACAAAAACATGACTAAAAAAGGAAATATACCCCATTCATAGCAGAACAAGGCAAGAAGAGTGTGACTTTGAAGAGGAGAATAAAAATGTCTCCCAAACAATTTTCGTCTTGGGAAAAGATGCACAGGGTGAAGGTGGCTGGTGCTGATAAGATGTTATCAGAATGACTTGGCATAAACCTCTGAGAGTCTGTGACAGAGCAGGATTGGGGGCATCATCCGAAACACTGACTCAGACAATCATAAATATGTCTGACTCTGTGCTCTGAGACCACCAGAGCAGAGTATTGAAAATAGTGAATGCTGAATCTACATTTACATTTTTCTGTTTCAGTTTAATAAGTTTTTATTTTATTTTACTCTTTCTGCACACTTTGTGTTATTGTTGCCATTCAATAAAATTAAATAAATTTAAAAAGGCTCATTCATGAAATCAGTGCAAGGACTTGTGGATTTTGTAACTTATACTTTGTGAAATATTTACCTTTAAATAAAAATAATTTCCCTACTAATGAATCAGGGTTTCTTCAACTTCTTGACAATCATTGTTCGGTTTAAACTCTGCTTCAGCATGCCTATTCTGTTTTTGTCTTCCTAAGCTTGTAGTTTTTGCTATCTTTATCTTTGACACTTTTAGGTTCTAGCTAGCTTTTTGATGCTTTTAGCTTTTAGCTAGTGTTTTGCTACCTTCAGCTTTTAGTTAAAATTTAGATACTTATAGCTTTAAGTCACTTTTTTGATTATCAAAATGGCTTTGTCTTTTGTTTTAGGGCTACAAATAACTCCAAATAAAGTGAGATTGCCAGTTTAACACTCTGCCAAACTGACAAACAATCTTTAATTACATAATTCAGAATTCCAACAAGGAAAAGAATGTTACAAAGCAGAGTTAAATTGAAATAACAGCCAACTAAATCAGACATAGAAGATATTAGAAAAAAAAAAACAACTCCAAAATTCTCAAATGCAATGGGGACAATTGGGGAGATTGTACAAACTTAAAAAAACATATCTTATATATCATACATTACCTAAATACAGCTCCTCAGACTGAAGAAGTCTTTCTGATGAAAGACGAAACGTTTCTACAATTTTTTTTTGTTTTTTGAACCCGTCCAAAGGATCAGACTTAACTTTTTTAGATTTTTCTACCTGGATTATTGAGCATTCAACAGAATATCATATATTACACACAAAAAACATAGCTCAGATCTTTTAATAAAATCATTCAAGGATTCAAGGATTTTTTTTATTGTCATTCCAGCTCACATTTGCATGTTTATGGTATGAATTTCATAATCAGATCCCAGATCAAGAAGCCTATTTTTCATTCAACCTTTATTTAAACAGGTTAGTCCCAGTGAGCTACGAGGACTCCTTTACAATAGTGGATAACAACAACAACAATACACATTCACAAATGAGTCATACAAATTTAATTTAAGTGTGTTTGGGTTTTTTTTTACAATTGAAAACAAAATTATAATTGAAAGGAAAAAGAAACAGCGAAAAAACAGCTAGACTATGAGGCGGTATAGAAAACTATAAACAGGAAGATGTTTGCACTGGTTCTTGCCAGGAACTTAGCAGATGTTTAAAGCCACTTAGAGAGGTCAAGGTCGAGAGCTTCAGATCTTTTTGCAAGATATTCCAGGAAACAGGAGCGGAGTAGGAGAAGACCATTTTGCCTAGTTCAGTCCTCACTGAGGGAATACTGCAGGTAATAACGTCCTGAGAGCGCACGCTGTAGCTGCACTCACGCAGTGACATGTATTAAGAAATAAATACTATATATATATATATATATATATATATATAT